GTAAGTTTGAATATCATGACTGGTGCAACAAAAACATGGAAAAGCTGGAGAAAGGTTTGTATTTGAATTTGTTCTTAGTTTAGTTAGAGCATGACAAAAAATGATTCCAGTGTTGGCAAGACATACGTTCCAGAACCAAATGTAAAATGTAAAGTATTGCCAAAACTGAGGCAAATAGAACAGGAGGTGGTCCACTGCCTCCACTTGACATTTTGACCCCAATGGAAGAAGATATATATGGAATAATAAAAAAGTATCTGTGGAAGGTCATCCATCACTTGATGAATTAACAGCAACTTTCAATTTTGGTGACACTGAAATTTTGCCATTGTTAAATTGTAGCAACTTGGAAAATAACAATAACTCAATTGCCACGAATGAAGAAATACAGAACAAAGATAGTGTGCCAAGCACGTCAAAAAATTCCCCACTGCCTAGTACAAGTATGCCACCACCTCAAAATCAATGTAAAAAAGGCGTGTTTCCAAAAAATGGGAAAATTTTATGAACGTTTCGGAGGCTACAAAGTCGTACACACGGCATTTGGAAAAGAAAAGTATTATGAAGAAAATTTGAAAATTATGAAAAAAACACTCAGTTTAGAAGAAAATAAAATAGAAATTACGGAATCAATTCGGAACAAATGTTCAGAATTCCTTGAAAGTATCATATGAAATATGATGTGTAAAAAAGTTTTATTTATTTTTGAAGACGACACTTGGTTGTTAGAGAATATATCTTCATTTGTGTTACATGAATTAATTTTGATAATGTTCAAATGAATGATTTGTTATAATGTGATGTATTATTTCCATTCGAATATATTTGATTTTGATTATTGTTTTTAATTAGTATGAACAGTGGAAAGTCTATTTTCATTCCAGGAAATAGGTTAGTAACTGCAATTAACCAACAGAATATATTTTATTACTGTAAATTTCTAATCATTCTTCGTTGGGCATTTCTGCCTGCTACCAATTCAGGATTAATATTTCCTAAAATAATTTCATCATGATCATGTTTCTGATAGTTAACATCCTGAATGACCCCAAAATCTAATTCATCGATTATTTCTTGCTCTGGTTCAGGTATATTGTGTTCAATACACATATTATGTAAAATAACATGCATTCATTATTTTACATGCATAGTCAGGGTCTTAATGTAAGACCCAGTGTTTCAAAAGGCATCTAAATCTTGATTTGAGAAGTCCATTACAGCACTCAATTTTCACCCTTGTACTTTTGTGTCTATCATTATAAACTTTCTCAGGTGTATTAGGAGGAGGGTTGTAATCTAAGGGCGTCAATAACCACGTTCTTAGGTGATATCCAGAATCCCCTAACAAACTATAATCTGTGAGGCCTCTTTCATGCAGAGCCCTCATGAGCCTTTGTACATTTGAACGACTCCAAATGAAGGCACCACTGGTACTTCCTGGGTATTTGACATTAACATTCAAAATTTTCAAATCTGCATCACAGACCTGCAATATGAAAATGAATGAGAAATAACAAATGTGTATATTTTGAAATCGTTCCTACCAGTTGTACATTAATAGAATGATAATTCTTTCTGTTGATATACAGGTATTCAGGATATTCAACATGATCGACAAGGGGAGAACGAATAGCTATGTGGGTGCAATCAATTGCCCCTATTACACCAGGTATATTATGCTTTTCAAAAAAACCTACAATTATTTTAATTATCAGCTCTTTAAAGGAGTAGGTACTCAACCGACCTCCGACGGATCCAATTGAGTTTTTCAAAATTGTTGGGAAGTTGTACCCATTCATTGACAATTTTCTGTTGATTCAATGCTGTGGTAACTTCTTTCACACACACACTCACAAAAGACTGGCTGAAACATAAAGACTTGTTAATACCTACACTGGTTTGGTAGTTACCATATGCATAGAAATGCAATGCCGTTAATACTTGAAATTTTTAATATTCCCCTTTCGACCACGAACTTTTTGGTACCTTTGTTTGGATTTGAAGGTCTGTGGGTCGTTTAGGTCCCCTAATAAAGGGTGTTAAGATATCTATCAAGACTCTGACCAAGTTTTTCGTTAGTCTGAACGGTTTGAAAAACTGACGTTCACTCAAGGCGAATGGATCTTCTGGGTTCGGTCTGTTATTCAACATAGGTTGATTTTCGAGATGTTCCAAATTCTCCAGTGATATCAACTGAACTAATTCGTCCATTTTGATCGAAATTATACAATACAGCAAATCAGATTTAGAATTATAACCTTAGTTTATTCCTATAAAGACAATAGAATTGTGGTCGCGAAAACACGAGTACAGTCATTCTCAATATCAAGTATTCTTTTCATAAAGAAGGGTCAAAAATTCAAAATATTCTTGCACTCTTACGAACTCGTACCATAATATCAAAGAGAAGGGTCAAAAATCGAGCCCCTGGAGTTCTTATAGTCCGATTTGCTCCTTCCAAGTGATGATTTGGCTCCTGTTTCTGTGGGTGATTGAAATCGTTCGAGTATCAGGATCCATTCTATTTGGGAAGCGCTCTTGATACTGTCGCCTGGCTTCATATGCGTTCCCGTCCACATAAATAATGCACGCAAAATTTACCAAAATGATGAGTATACATTTTTACGATGCACGCTCACACCGTCACGAAAAGCCGATACCCTGAAGCTAGCTTCTTCTTCTTCAATTTGTATATATGGCCGTTGCTTCTCAGTCGATCACATTTGGCCAGATTCCTCCTGTCCATAGTGAACAGAAGCTTTGTCCGGGGGCGCAGCTGTCTTGCTCGAAGCAATGCTGCCACCCTGAGTTTTCTCATTCACTTTTTCTTCTATAAAACAGTTGATTTTTTTACTAGGGGAACCTTCACAAAAAATACATCTATTATCGCCCTATTATCCGTTAACATCCAGCCTGGTTACTGGCGTAGGTGGCCGCCAGTCCTCTCAAAATGTCTTTCACTTCAATATCTATTCGGATTTGACTTAATTTTTTATAAAACACCTCACTTTTGGACTCCCACTCCGACCACGAAATCCACGTGCCATCTATAAGGACGGTCGTTATCAGCACAACCGTTCTCTATCGCGGTCGGAAAAGAAGTCCCTGAAGTTGGCTAGTCAATATTTCAGTTTTTCAAAAAAAGTTACCGACATAGTACAAATAAAAACATCTACGTATGTTTTGCGTGGGAACTGGCAACTGTATTCACGATATTTATTCAAGTGTTTTTGAAATATCAAAATAAATTTTAATAAATATTTGGAATACAAGAATAAACTTGAACGAATAATCAAATAATTTGAAAAAAACGGAATATAACTTCTTACGTGTGTACATAAGCACTCATACACTCTCATTTTCAATAACCAAGTTTTCATGACGTAAATTATACCACGTATAGGAATGTAGGAATTTTTTATGTTAACAACAAGTTATTAACCCTCTAGATCAGTGTTTCCCAAAACTTTTTTGCCTGAGGACCCACCTTCATTGTGGAATTTTTTTGGCGACCCACATATTAAATAATATTGAGTATAATTATTATTACTGATGATATTTTGATTGTTATCGATCATTCACTTTTGAAGAATACACCTCTAAAAGAAAATAGTGAAGGAGATGAAATACATTTCTAAAAAATACTTTTAATTCAGAATCTTAAAACTAAACGAATACAAAAAATGAAAAAATGAGACTTATAATTACCGCGACTTGTGGAGTTGGAAATTCTATATCTGGGTTGAGAGTTGAAAGCGTTAAACTCAGGTCACGTTCCACACAAAGTCTATTTCTATATTTATTTTTTAAATATACCAAAGTGGAGAATGGTTGAAAACCCCATCAGCTCTTTTAAGGCTATGTTCGAAAGATCTCGATATTCTCCCCTAGCCTTTATCCAAAATGGGAAAAACAATTCAAAAGTATTTTTTTAATCTGTTTTTCTGCGACCCACCCAAATTGCAATCGCGACCCACCTGTGGGTCGCGACCGCATAGTTTGGGAACCACCGCTCTAGATGTTTCTATAGCCCACAAAATAATCCTTATACAATTAAACGGATGATTTCGCATAGGAACAAGCAAATGAATGCATTTTTATTTTCTACTAAAAAATAATTCGCGAACGGCAAAAAGGCTGGAGACCATTTTACCACAAGATAGAGGGCAATTACAAAAATAATATTTATTTGAAAAAGTACAGTGGCGTATCCTGATTTTGATAAAAACTATGGCAGGATATGTCAACAGGGACCCCACTGATGAACAGTGTAAGATCGAAAAAATGTATTTTTATGCGTACTTTGCTTGTACCAAAATTGAAAGAAAAGCCAAAGCGGTTCACAAATATAAGAGGAAAAATGAATTTTTCTGTTAAATTTCAACATCCTGTATATCAGAAACGAAGCGGTTGAGGAACTATGTCCACATAAATAATTCATCTTAAAATATTCTAATGATCATCCTGGATATTCACATGATCCGGCATTTCATCGAATGTAGTTGTACAGAAATATCAGTTTATGTTGCATCAAGTTTGGCTACTACAATTGAAGGGTACAGGGGAAAAACTGGCTAAGTCAGTCATTTGCGAATTTTGAGATAGAGCGCGCAGATTGTAACCCATCAAAAGATCTTTTGTTTCAGTAAATCAAACAGGGGAAAAAGCGGTTTAGTCTGCTGTAACAAACGACCAAAAATAACCCATGCAAGGGAAAACCAGGCTAAGTCCATGCGGTACAGGAAAAGAATCGGCTAAGTCACGTCTACGTATCGCGATACGACACTCAGGATCGGCAGTCGAGTTCCAACCTGTTCGAACAACAAAGGGTTCAATAATATTCTGAATTTCTTTAGTTTGAGTGCCTTGAATTCATTTAAGAATGGAAAATACTGATAACAGTGATATTGAATTTAGTACCAATATACCGAAAACTTCAAAAAAGAGACCGAAACATGGAAGGTTGACAGAGGTTAGTAAGAAGTTACGTTTACAAACGCATGAAATCGGGAAAGAATGTAACTGTAAGAGATTTAAGTATACTAGTGTGCCTCCCAAAGATCCATACTAATACACCTAACAAATTATCGCAGAAAACAACTGAGCTCGTTAACCAGCACATTGCATCATTCAAAGGACGAGCTAGTCACTACAGTTTGGCCGATTCGAGGAAAACTTACTTACCTGAGGACTTGAACCTCAAAAAAATGTTTGGAATGTTCAAGCAGCTTCACCCAGATTGTTCAACAATATCTTACGAAAGTTACCGTACTATATTCAATGGCAACTTTAATATCTCATTCGGTTACCCACGAACTGACACGTGTAGTACTTGTGACCAGTACTTATCAAAAATTAAAAGCCTGGAACATGAACTGTCTAGTACAAATGTTGCAGACGAACAGAAACGCTTAAAAACAACTACTGAGATTCGTAATTCAAATACAGAAAATATGGTTCACAAGGCGAGAGCGCAAGAATTTTACAACCGTAAGAAGAGGTCTAAATTCGCCAGCCGTAAAGACAAAAGTCAGGAGTCCATATGCATGGACTTTGGAAAAAAATTTCCATTGCCTAACATTTCAACAAATGATGTTTATTATAAGCGCCAACTTTCGATATATCTTTTTAATATACACACACTCTCTACATCCGAAAGTGTGTTTTACGTATACCCAGAAAGTATTGGAAAAAAGGGCAGTGATGATATCTGTTCTTTACTCTTCAACTTCCTCTATAACCAACTGGATCCACAGGTTAGGAAACTAGAAATATTTTGCGATTCGTGCGGAGGGCAAAACAAGAACTACACCGTTTTCCGATTTTTACATCATGTCATTCAGTATCAGAAACGTCTTGATTACGTAAAAGTTACCTTTCCGATCAGGCGACATTCGTACATGGAAAATGACAAAAACATGGGCCTTATAAACACTAAGGCCAGAGTAGAGACACTTGAAGAAATGTGTGAACTACTGCAATCATCTAGATGCAAGCCGTCACCATTCGTTGTCGTAAAAATTAATGAACAAAATCAAACAATTTTCCGCCAGTGGTCCCAGCAATTAACTGCTCTTTATCAAAAGAAAAAATGCCCTTTCCCCACTCGGCCAATAAGGGAACTGGAGATTACAAAGGAACATCCACGACTTATGAGGTATCGATGCTCATTCAATGGAATGTGGGAAACAGCTATATTAACGGAGAAGAAGCAGAGCAGAAGCGCGTGCAGCGACGTCTGAATGGGAACGAATTCATATTGCCTGAACCAAGTTACGAAGGTAACAAAATACTTGCAAAAATTATTCTGTTTTTCATTATATTCAACTTTTAGGGATGCTGCCAATATCTGCCGAAAAATATGCTGACCTTCAGTGCCTAAAAAAGTTTTGTGGGCCCATAGCGCAAGACTATTTTGAAAATATTCCACACCGTCAAGCTAAAAAATAAATTCAATTACATTGTTCACATTAAACATTTCTTTAAATATACTTTGTAACAAAATGTGTGATAATATTATTTATGAATTAACTTACCTGATAATCAGCATATATAGACGAAATTGGCCCGATCTGCGAGTAATATTGTGGGGAAAACAAGCTAAGTCAGGGTTTCATTATCATATTTTCCAAAAATTAGTGCGTTGGGGATATTTTTTTTATTACGCATGAGCGTACCTACACACGTAAAACCTTTTAACAAGTCAACATACCTTAATAGTTCATCAATCTACCAGCACATGTCCTCACAAAAGTGAATATAACCTTAAAAATGCCTCTAGATCGAATGTAACAAAAAGTGACTTAGCCGATTTTTCCCCTGTACCCTTCAATTAGTAGAACTTTCATTCAACTTTTGTTGGATTAATTTTAGTGAGGTGTATATTAAATTTCAATGGTGAATTTTATATTTGTGAGTTACAAAATGGGAATAATACAAAATATGGACTGAATATATTTCATTAGACAGGTATTTAATAAAAAACATACAGTAAATTCTAGACCAATTCGCCATTAAGAAGAAATGAAGTAACAGAATTCCAGAAACACCTTACAAACTGTTTTTGTGTATAAAAAGTAAATACCTGCCTAATTTTGTTTATTTCTGCTCAGATAATTTTTTACGAAGAGAGTAAGTGACATGTTAGGTCTAGACATTATTATTCCCTTACGTCAAAAAAAATCATTTTAATTCACACTAGGTTTCTCTTGTGGAAATGATTTCCAATAAATACCTGAGTAAGTATGGTAACTGTCGAAACACACATTTTTTATGGACAAAAACTGTTTGTGTGAAATTGTCATTTTTATTTTAGAAAATAAGTAGAACTTTAATTTTTTATTTATACCATATATAAATACAATGTACCGGTGAGAATATGAATTAAAAAACAATTACCGTCTTCTGATATATCTTTCGAACGAACTATTTTTATATTTGAATGATTCGAATGAACTTTCACCTTATGTATCGACAATCCTGTCATGGCAATACACCTAAATTTGGCTTTGTTATCCAAACAACTACTATATTGAATCCCGATACCAGTGGATATAAATAAACTTGTTACCAGCATGGCCTGTTTGTTTCCTTTACTATATTTAGCAGCAATAAGGACAAGGAATTGTATAATCAGTATAGACAGCATATAACTCTATTTCGATCTGATGAATGTTTTCTTTATATAACTCTGTTCAATAAGACATTGACAGTTGTTCCACAAATAAACCTATAATTATCGAGGAAATTATGGTTGAAAAATTCGATTTGTCGATTAAAAAAGATTGCAAGAGATCTGATGTTGATGGCCATGTAAGATTTCTATTGGTTTTGTCAGTTCTGGAAATGAAATTCTTATTGTGAAACCTGATTGGTTCTTCAGCTCCGTATCAGAACAAAGGTCAAACTAGTGGGGCTGTACAACGGAGACTTCAGATGCAGATTATGCAACGAAGGGACCGAAACATCTTATGCGAATGTGAGGCACTGAATCACAGGAGGCAGGCAATATATGGACGTACAAAATTACGCTCAGAAGAATATGACGAACATATCCAACACGGAACCTCTACAAACTAGTACAGGGAACGATACTGATAGAATGGGTGTCATGAGAAGATGGGAGAATAAACGCAATAAGCTCAAGAGGCTGCAGTGTTTTCTGGAGACTTGGACTAAATGGACAAGTCAGACAGCTTCCAAGGTACAAAAATGAAGGTCAAACTAGAGACAGGACAGACATTTCAACGTGTTTTTTCTATATTTGTAATGATGTCTCAAATCTATTCAATTTAAACATTTCATTCGTGGTCCAGCCCTCATATCATCTAGATACTCTAAATAGATCATAGAGTTCTTCAAGGATCTATAATTGAATCGGTACTGTCCCTTATGGATATACATGATGAATAGTATATTATCTTCATATGTCTTCGATAATATTTGTGGACCATACATTGTTTTGATTAAGGTATAAATGTATTATTTGAAAAGTGTTTGAATAATTGATAACTAAGTATTTAGGGTGATATAGTTGAAATTCACATGATTGTTCAAGGTCAATCGTCAAGATCGAACTTCGCACCGCACGTTCTAGGTCATGCTTAAGGCCATGTGACGTGCTACTCATGATCATGTGACGTCGAATAGTGGAGGGTGTGATGAGATCTTTTTCATTTCAAACCAATTATGTTTTGCATCGCTTTACTATATCTCCCCCCAATATTCTTTTAGCTTTTAATTTTTAAGTTTTTATCTCGAACCACCGTCCAAACATGCTCTCACCCCCTTACATTCAAGATCATTCAGTTCTGGATAATTTGATTCCAGCATTATAACATCGCAATGATATTGAAATGACTTTCAGGAAGTCTCTTGTTGCACACATTCTACTTAAAAACACTTTGTAGTTGTTATGATCTTGAAAAAATATTGAAGGGTATGTGTGTGGAGGAGTAACCCTAAGAAAGGATTACATACACGAAATAACCTGTGAAAAAATACACTTGAACTTGCGTACACATAGATGACCATGAGTAGAAAGCATTTATATGCACTAGTATATATGTATGAAACCGCTATCAACAACTTCTACAACTATGAAGAATGAGTGCCTTGATTTGAGTACACCGCACACCTTGCTGTCAAGCAGTACTGCAATGTACCACTGGATCTCAAAGGGGCATAATCCCCCTCAACTCCAATCCGAGGTAAATCTGTGAAATTTCATTCAAGGTCACTCAAGATCAAGGTCATGTATCAAGGACACAGTCGATCATCAAGGTTGAACTCTTTGCTCAAGATCATATGACGTGTTCATAGCTCAAGGTTGAGTGGTGGGGGGAGATTCTGAACTGCAATATATTGAAAACACAAATGAAATTGCCGTTGAATTTGATATTAGATTCTTTCAGTTAGACAAATTCGATGATGTTTACTCAGTTCAAATGCAAATGAGGAGCTCCAGTTTCGTTAGTTTTGTTAATTTCTTTCCTTGGTTTTCCGAAATTTCTGTTTCATACATTTGAAATTCTATGTCAGTCCATTCCTACCTTCCCCTTCATTACAAGACAAAAATGAAATTGGTCAAGAGTGCCTCCAATGCAGCTTATAATTGCTTTCATTAATTCGACTTTTGCTTCTGATAACAGTATTTCGAAGATTTTTGCTAGATGTAACCATCGATGTTTCTGTTATGGATACTTTTACATGACGATGGTTTTCCTGAGAATTATTTGGAACCCTTTTTCTATTGAAAAATCCAAAGATGTGGTATGTTGCAGCTTTGGGGATATGCCTTGGAAGCAGACTTGGAAGTAAACTCCTATTTTCAACTTCTTCCTTCATACTATCACTTCCAAAAACAATAGCTACTGACTTGATTGGATTGATTTTCAACACTACTATTAGTGAACACTCTAGAAGTAGTATGACGATTTTTAAAATAAATATAATTGAGAGTCATCTTTATAGAGATGATATGTACAAGAATTCAGCTTCTCGATGAATGGAGCAATATAAAAGGCATAGAAAACTTATCTAGAAATGTTACCTTATGGTACTTCTGTTTTAATCTCTTTTCAGGTGGAAGAAATATCAGACCTGTTATCTAGGTAGGATGATATCAATATTATTGATGCATTACTAAATCAAAAAATAACATAGCACATATGGAGAATAGAGGTGCTGAAGAATTCAGCTGAAAAAGTGTCCTCTAGTTTCTCAAGTGAACGATAAATTATAGTTATAGTATAGTTGAAAATTTGACCAACTTGGCGCTAATATCAAGAGTTCGAATGTTTATAGATAAAATAAAGCTTACAGAAATGTAAGTATTCACGTAGTCGAATATCATTTGGTAAATGTAACCTAAAAAAGTAACTGTGAAATAACGTTAAAAGTCAATGATTGAACGTCTTTTTTTTTGTCGAAAACAGTTCCATTTAAAAGCGGGAGTTTCTACACCCGATTTCTCTAGCTCTCCTCATTCTTCAACTTCTAGCGTTTCATTTAAAATTCACACTCTTGCTACAGTGGCGCCTCCCTAATGTAATGGCTTTGGATGGACACTTTATGAAACACAGAGATGGTTCTCCTTACCTCTACCTTCTATAATAGTACATATTATTTTGTGTTTGATACTGTCAAATCCAAAATCATTAAAATTACTGCTTCTTTTTTATCTATAGCATCAATAATGACATCTACAATCACGAATAATGCGGTTGTGTAGCTGTAATCAGAGTTTATCTGACAAATTATTTCACCGATTAATAAAATGGCGCATTTTATTTTCTATTACTTTTTCTATAATCTTTCTTCGGTTATTTTTGGCAATGGTATAATTATTGCAAATTTCCAAGCATAAACCTTTTGCGGAAAATTCAGTTATGTATTGCATCAATTTTATTTGCAATCAACTCAATGCTTTCTTGTTAGCGATACTATCGCGATGGATATACCTAGCTTTTGCAGTTTTTTCATAATTTAGCAAATGTTTTTGTTCTAATTCTACTACTTCTATGGGGGACCATTCAAATTTGCCCAGTCCCTGGGTGATTCAATTTTCGCTGTAGTTTTATTCTTCCTATTTTTAAATGCAGCGTGGATAGTATCTCCTTCTAAGTGTGTATTTCCAGGTTCAAGAAATTTATGATTCATTATAATTTTTCTTCCACTTTTGTCTGAATCCTCTTTTAGAAGACACAGCATCGCCGCAAAATATATATTTTTAGTTTGTCCTAAAATCGAATGAAAAAAATATAATAGTGTCATTGTCGAAACTTGCTGCTGTATCCATTTTCTTTTCTTTGGGTGGTTTGTTGGTCACAAGAAGTGCAATTGCTCTGTAATGCATATTTGACACACTTGGCATATGTATATTCAGAAGGATGATGAAATGATAGATTGAATTTTTCTATAAATCTTTCTATAAAATGACTCTAACTGTGGTTGTATATTCCTGGAAATGTACATTTTAGCAATACTTAAATCTTGGGACAAGTATTTCTTATCCGAATGCTACCTCGAATAATGACTGATGTAAGATGGAAAACTTCCGATATGCTGTTTAATAATGACAATTGCATCGATGTTAACTTTTGTTCAATGATCATGTTTTCTTCTTTTATCATTAATAATAATAATAATAGCATGGTG